GTACTTCCTGAATTGTTAATTAAGGTTAATATATTTTATTGAATTACTACCTTTTTGCTCTTTACTTCGTGTATGCGTGGATTTCAGAAGTAAGAAAACCAATTATGGTTTATAATTGGTTTTCTTCTTCTTGGCAAATGAAGATAAAACATATATAACCAGATTTTAAGTTAGACCTTCAAGAATATAACTGTGAAAATAGCATTCCTTTTGATGATGTACTTGCGTTATACCGGAATATTCAGATAAACATACAAAATTTCTAAGAATCATTGTTTTCCATTCTATTACTCTAATTAAGATCACTAATATACTTTTTCTTAAATATTTCCCGTGTACAGACATCGTCTTTACACTTTTATTATATAAATAAGATTATAACTAAAGATAAACTAAACTAATTTAATTATTTATATTTTATTATTATTATTTTATTAGTTTTTTAATTTATTTATTTTATTATCTTAACCAAATTACACCGCGCTCACATTGTGACCTTAATAATTAAATTATTGTATTTTTCCTAAATAGTGACATAATTTTCGTCTCTTATAAACAATAAATTGTAATATGTAGTATTGATAAAGAAAATCAAAACACCAATTTCTGAATTTATTATTATTAAATAAAAACACAATGAGATCAAATAGTACTCCATTCAATTGGGTCTCGTGTATAATTTCGCCGATTCATAAATATTCTGCCAAACATTCACTATTTGCAGTTACGGTGCTCGTAAATCTTGTTCATGATAACGAAAATGGGTTTAGAGTGAAAGCAGAATGTGATAAGTCACGATGGCCAACAAAAGGTGCTTCCTTGGGACCTGACTTTTGATATACTGATGCCCAGGTAGTTTATTTATTAGACAGCTTTTGTGAATAAACGTAAAAGCCTTGTCCAGCTCTCGGAGTACACATTCTATATTTTTTTTTTATTATAACCTGTTATTACATCTAACCTTTTAAGAAGTTATGTTTAGTGAACGTAAATGGTTCCTGTTTGTAGGGGCAAATTTATTTAGGAATATACAATTGATTATAAAACTATTCTATTTGTACTAATTGTATCTACTTTTTCGTTTTTTTTTTTCCCCACTTGAATTTGCATTTCGAATAGCATTAAATCGTAATGTAACTAATAAAATGTTTATAAAAAAAATTACTTGAATAAATATATTTTTATTAGATATTTAGGTATATATCGTTTATAAAAGTATGTTATTTTTTGAGGCGGCAAACAAACATACGGCCCACCTGACAGTAAGCGGTTACCGTAGCCTATAATTGTCTGCAATACCAGTGATGTTACGCGCGTGTTAGATATTTATATTATATAAGAAAATTATTCTTAAACATCTTGTGTTAAAATGTGTACCTACATTTATTAATAAAAATGAAACTGTAGTAGTTTAAACATAATAAAATGTTAAAATTGTTATTATACCAAATTTTGTAATAAATTATTCTTGTAGTATGTATAAAATATTGATTTATATTTTAATTGATTTTATAAATATTTATTATCATGATACCTAAATAAAAAGTAATGAAATTTTAAGAACACGTGGTCTCGCTGACTTGTTTACTCGAATTCGGTCCTGTAAATATAAAAGATTGTTATTTGGGTGGGGAGACACTTCTTGTCCAACCGTTGAACAGAACGGAGCTCCCTGACGTATCAAGAGTGAACAAGTATAGTAAACCACGTGGTCATAATATAAAATATATCACAATTATTGTTGATGGAAGTCGTAAAGAAGCTATTGTTAAATAAGTGTCAATGGATTAACAGAAGTTGGGTATTTATTTTATATTATTTCCTTATATATATATATATATACACTAAGTAAAATAAGTAAATACATATATGGTTTAATAGTGCGATATCTAAAATAAATAAACTGTGAGTACTTGTGCTTCATTTCTATTTATTACTAAGAGGCTTATAACCTTTATTGCTAAAGAATATATCATATACATATAAAGTTAGGATTACGTACTAAAATTACTATGAAAACCTATTACCTTTCATAACATATTATATATAATATTAACAGTTTTTTATCTGACACGCGCATTGCCGACTCTATATATGTATATATATATTTCATATGTAATAATTGTAGATGATTGTTCAATATCCATCCAATGATGTATTATTCTATTTACTATAGTTATTCTCTATAATTATTCTCTTTAATCATCACAAATGTTTTCCTGAATCAATCTATCAAATTCATCTCTTATTTCAACCAAAATGGTGTCATTAGGTCAATTGTATATAAATACAGTTTGAAACTGAAGGACAACTGTGAAATTACAGGATATGGAATCTTCTGTGAAATTTCTGAACCATCTTAATATTCAGGAGTGACAACGAATAGGAGTAACATAGATTATGATACTTGTGAAAAAGGGCCGTCACCTTATTTCCTAAAGATAGAACGGACGAACTTACAAACGCCATATTCACGATGACATTTCATCACTGCGTTGTATGACGTCACCATAAATTATTCTCTTTCGGTGTTCTGGTTAAAGAGTACGGTATCTTTTAAATCATCTATATTGAACATCATTTATTTATAACAATGAACACTGTCAACAAAATAACAGTATTTGTGCAAAATATCTGCGACGCTTTGTATTCGGGATATGACAAATAGCGACATAGATCAACCCACGCGAATGTCGATTACAAAGTATTGGTGGTCTTTTCACAGAATATATCAATCACAAGTTCAAAACCAAACAATATATTCGAATTAAGACACCTACATACTGTCTACACTGATCACTGGATAAAATATTATATACATGTCTCCCATTAGGGTAGGTATAGGATACAATGGATAAAATACACGTAGTGATTAAAGTTTTTTAAGAGATTGGATTGAATCCCATCATGACTATTGCACTGATAATCACTACATGATAACGGTATATTCTCGTCTTTAAAAAAAAAACATTAACCATGTAATGCGAAAATCATATCAAATGCCATGTTAGCATCTAGCTTTGTCCATAAATGATAGTAAACTAATACATGTATGATGTGTAATGATGACAGTTTTAACAACAATGGCTACATATTTTAGCAAATAATACATTTAAAAACCATAAAAATAATCTAAAAATATTATTAAAATATGAAAATCAATTTTTTTATTTATAATTCTGTATCAATTTGCAATTGGTGAATTACCTATGGTTTAACCATAATTAAATGTTAAAAAAATATCCCCTTACAAAAATTAATAAAATAATGGCTTCATAATCATGCGAGTGTGCATTTATAACGAAGTAATATTTGAAAACTCGCACAACAATAACAATATTATGAACGTAAGATTTGTCAAGCGTACACCTACACACAATCTTCTTTTGTTTTGTACACAAAATATATTTATAACCTAAGTCATGAAAAACAAACAATATATGTTTAAATTTTGGCTTATTGGTACGGACAGCTGTTGATTAGCCTGAAAAACGAAAAAAGTCGAGGGTTGATGTTGATCGCTTTACACCCACTCGGCGTAAAGCGATCTACATCGGTCATTGCTTACAAATAGATGATTAATGGACTCAATGAACAGAGGAGCTATTGATTTAGAAACAGACACCGCTGCCTTTGTACTTTAAATTCTGACAAAATTTATGTAGGTTAAATTATACTTACTTTACTATATTATCTTTTTTATAAGTAGACGCCACAACAATTCGTATTAATAAAATTTCATTTAGAAAAGTAATTTTTGAGCAGATGGCTGGATGTTATGATAAACTTAAATGCTTTGAACCTAATCAATCTTATTTTTAGGGTTCTGTACCAAAAAGATACAAAAAAACCATAAAACTTTGTTCGTCCACCCGTTCGTCCATCTATCCATCTATTACAACATTATATCTCAGTAACTATTTATATTATTCATTTGAAATTTATAATAGTTTTACTAGCCTCCGCATATTGCAACGAAAATAGTTGAAAAAATGTTTTTACATGACTATCGAATTATGAGGCAGTGCATTAAAATTGTATACCATAGTATAAAGGACATCTAAAAATGTGTATCCTTCTATTATTGTTCTGTTGCAAGCATAACGTTACCAGACTTCTATGATTGATAGCGCATTTATCAATATTTCCTATCTCATTGTTGGCTGTGTAATATTTCAGGATTCTGCTGGAGATTATAGCTCGCCTAAATCTGACATCTTAGTCTTGACTGATGTATTCAATAAATTTTAGGATATCTAATATAGTTATATTATTTCATTCTAATATTACTATATCTTAATACTTGAATTGTATTGTAAAACCTTTATTGTACATAAATTACATTGAATATATTAGTAATAATGATGTTTTAGAAATATATTAATTTGAAAACATTAATATTACTAAGAAATCTTCTCAAAAAGTCTCAGTCCTAGATTGCCAACTAAGAACAAACAATTTTATTATATTTTCGCTCATCTTTCGTTTAAACCAAGTTTCATTAAAATATCATATGTCATATGTCTATAGGCGACAGTTACTTCTTTCCATCAGGTGGGCTGTCTACTTGTTTACCATTCTAAGTTACAAAAAAACCTGCAAAATTCTTTAGCGGGATTTTAACCTATAAATAAATATGTATATAATATAATTTCAAAGGAAAGCAAATAAAACATACTACATGTGATACATATCATATATATGATTAATATGAAACTTTTATATGTTATATTATTATAAGTATATTAGTAAAAATATCGCTTTATCGTTCAACTTTTTACCATTCACTGAGTCCTTCTTATTTAATATTACGACAATTATAACATTGACCTTTAAAATAATTTATTAAATTATATATTTACTATGCTTTTATATATGTAAATTTACATCATATAACATTACTATTGCAGTTGAATAACTTTGAAACATTAGTTGAATACCTAAATTCAACGCTCACTTTGTACTTACCCTACATACTAACAAGTTGCTATATTTCCCAGGTCTCACAGAGCAGTCCGAAAGTAAGCTCAAATTCAACTAAGCATGTACTTACTTTGTAGAGTTTCAAACTCCGATAGAAATCATACTAATCAAAACAGCAACTCATCATTTAGATTCGACCACCCCCACCTACTTCAAATGTAGTTACCCACCCTACTTCAAATATATATAGTTATAATATTAATATCCAAACTAATTTTAGAATACATACATTGTAGCATTTCTCTAATACTCTTAGTTGCAATATCAATTTATCAAAAGTTAGAAAACGATACAATTTCACGACTAATTATAATGATTACCAAATTCAACTATACTTGTATATTGATATACGATAAAAACAAACTTGGCTGAGTCATAAAATGTAAACAAAATTAAAATTATGGAACCAAAATATCGACCCATATTTTATTAGGAAAAACATCTAGATTTAATTGTAAAATATCCCCTTAAAAGGATCTCATTAATTGCGAATTTTCTCAGTATGAAAGTCTAATTGTTTTTAAATAATATATATCTCTGACAGAGATGAGTCAACATTTGCTTACAAAATTTATAAATGCATTAACTATATAATTTACAAATGCAATAAAGAGTACAAACGCGGCTGGCATGATGATGAATATGCAGTAATTCTGTATGTATGAAAGTAAAAAAGACCTGAGAGCCTTCGTTTGGTTATCTTATACAATAATAAGATTATAAAGCTTATACTATTCTTAACACTGTACTACTAATAACACTACATTATGGTAAATAATTACTGATAGATTGATAAATTTGCAACTAGGTGTATCGAGATTTTTAGTTATTATATTAAGGTTTTCGCTCCAGATATTTGTTGTACAAGATCAACTTGAAATCTTTGTTTTATTTTGATTTTTTTTAATATTGTAAATTTATTTTCTATACACTTACATAAAAAGATAGTTCAATACTTGACAATAACAATTTATTGCCTTTTATAGAAAAAGTTGAATCTCCTCATCCCCAATTAAGTGTAACATGTAAGCAAATTATTTGTGAGATTTCTCTCTATATTGTCTCTTTTTTCTTCCCTTTTCTACGCTTAAATCTTAATCATGACAGTTAACTGCTTCTACTTGGTTCCTTACCTCTTTTAGTGGTCTTCGTTAGCCAACCTTTGACCTATATTATTTTCCTTCCATATATTTTTATCAAGTTCCCTAGTTCTAATATTATATAACAACATATTCCTTCTCCTTTTCTATAATCCCATTAAACATTTGTCTCGGTACCTCTTCAATCGTTATTTTCCCTGTATAACCATATTTCAAGCACAAAAAAAATCTTTATTTGTGTTATTATCAAGATTCTATTTACATTATTTTCGGCAACAGTATTAACATCTTGGCTTCGGGTGAAAATAATGTACAGTCGACCTAATAATATAGAGGTCACGTCTATACCGCGCGCCAAGTATCACTTTCAGCTTAAAAGCAGTTCAGTGTACTTAGACAGACACAACTGCATCAATACTAATATTCCTCTAATGGAACTAATCTATTACATTCACAGTCGTCTTTCTAAAAGCAAACAAAGAAGTTTCGCTTATTGCAAACCTTATTATTGTTTATTCTTTATTGTCATTTATATATATAATATAAAATATAGTTGCTATTATAGTTTTATGTATAATTATTTATTTTTTTTAATTTTTATTTAATGTATCGCTTGTAGTTGCTACCAATATAAATAATTACATTATATAAGTAATATCTGGAGCATTATAATTTTAAAACACACTATAGCATGAGGTATGTTTATCGTAGTTTTACACTAATACTTACAAATATTTCATTAGTAAATTTACACAAAATTATTTTAGAAGTCAATTCAGTAGGTTTGTTTTGTATTGTTAGTTGCATTGTTAGTTCACAATATAAGATTTTATCGAGTTTTCAACGGGACTGATTCGAACAGATAAGGTAAGTGAAAAATTATTTTTAATTATACGTACACGTAACAGTATATACTATTTTATGTAAAAGAGAAAAGAGGTAACAAATACATTGCGAGTGTAATTATACAACAAAATTATATAGTTAGACAAATAGAATAAAATTAAGATGTAGCTATACACGATAAATCATGTTATATCATTTCAACATTAATTGGAAATTTATCCCACACTGACAAAATATTCTTGATCCACCTACATATATTAAGTCGGAATAAAAAGCGTTTATGGTATTCATTCCTTTAAAATTAAATATTTTCCATAGCATTATCTACGCAAACCCATTCTCGTAGGACTCATCATCTTAAAAAATCCTTTATTAAAGAACTAGCGATCCTCCCGGCTTCACACGGGTAGATAGATTTAAAGGTATATTAATATTTTGTATTAGCTTTTTAGGCAAATTTTTGATACCATGAATTACTATATTGTAATTTTCGTAGAGATCTCTAATTTATTTGGAAATATCTTATGGTGCTAGCTGTAGCTTTCTATAAGTGACTGATTTTATTTTTTGAAAATTTCAAATTCATGTAAAACTGCTAAATAAATATTAATGGGCGTCTATACAAAAGTCGTCTGTTTAGGCATTTCTATTTAGCTCCAGTTTTTATCTTTAAAACAGTAGGCTTGGGCAATATCGGTACCACTCCGACACCTATAAGTATATTGAGTTCCGCTAGACATTGATGACCTTCACCCATTTTGATATTATCAATACTAATCGATATCTATTTATTTATTTATTTGCACTTTATTGTGCACGCAATAAAGAAATAAAACGGTGGAAAGCAAATATAAAAAGGTGAGCGATAACTTCTTAATCCTCTGGGATCGCAACTTATTAGGGTATCATCGTCAGTATATTCTGTGATATCCAAGGTGTTGTTCAAGTCTAAGGCTAGGGGTGGATAATATATAACTATGCATTGTCTATATCTATAAATTGTAATATATTATATATCGAAACATAACACCCGATCGAAATTAATATACATATCCGACGGGTATAGGTGATATTGAAACGACCTTTTTTTATGAATATATAGATATCCGAGCGGTGCTGGTTTCACACATACCTAGTATATGCAACGTTTACCACTTTCCATCAGGTAGACTATGGACTTGTTAACATGTCACTAAAAAAAGTCACTAAGTTTCTAGGTGCACTGCAGCATTTAATTTAGTTAATGAGTTTCACTTTATTATCACGTTAAACAAAGATAAACTTCTTTATTTAGTACTTTAATGCAGCTCTCTAAGGAATATAGATATCAATACTAACATTGAATTATTGAACTTTTCTAAAATAAAACACAAATGGAGAATTTTTAAATAATGAACGCATAAATAAGTTCATCAATTATTACACAAAATTCCCCGTCTCAGACAAATTAAACTGAATTCAGCTTATTGAATTAGATTGTGAGAGAATCTTACAGAATTCCTTCTTTGATGACGCCATCACTTTAAATTTTACTGGTGGGTCCAATGATCCAATTAAATTAACTTTCCCTTATATAGGTTTATACATAAACCAGCCTATTTTCATTGTATTTTCGCAAACATGTTATAATAGTGATGAACATGTTTTGTTATCTTTTTTAACAATACGCTGTGTAAAAAATACTTCACGTCAGATCTCTTACGGTGTAAACGGAAAAGATTAACTAACTTCACACTTACCAGAAGGAGACTGTGTAAATGTCATCTGCTTAGGTAACTCGACCCGTCTATCACTTTGCAGCAGCTGTGCTTACATCACTGTGTCTTGATACCTGATATCTTACATTAATCTTCAAAAATAACAACACATAAATATACCATGGGCGTCACTGTGTATATTTATATATATTTAAAAAAAATATATTTTAAGAAGGATTATTAAAAAAAGAAAAAAATAATGTATATTAAAATACATATTTGTATTAAAAAAGAAGAGTTATTAGGACCATAAAGCACAGAAATGTGAACAATAAATGTAGCGGAATAAAATCTTCAGTATTAATATCGGGGATAGACAAAAAGCTAGGGATCGAATATCTTCAACTAAGGAACGAACTAATGTACGTCTTACGTCTAATGCTTCGGTAACTAAGTACTTTATCAGAACAATGGAATTCCTTTCGCATTCATCCTCTGTTAAATGACTTTCGGTCTTTTAGTTGAGCAGAATAAGTATCAAATTGCGTTCGAAATTATTAGCATATAAAGTATTTCTTTTGCAACTATTTTATAGGTAATAATTAATCAATTTAAAAATGCAAATATGATAAAAATTATTGTAAATACACAGACAATAATGCAATATTTACTTTTTACACGACTTCCAATTTATACATATTGTTTCATATGTATTGTGTGGGTTACGCGTTCACGTTAACAATTATCTATTAATTCTAATGATTCTTTTCGCAATCGTTAGAATTCAGTACTGCGTAGTAGTAATACAATAGTAAATTGATGATAATTGATTGACAATAAATTTAAATATTTTAAATGTAGCAAACCACAAAGCATCTCTTGATTCATCTATGTGTTTGTGTGTTTGCGCGCGTTTTTTTTTTTTTAATAGTTGTTCTTTTATGTAACATTTCTAAACAATATTAATTTTGTCATGGATGAAGGCACTATTTTTTATAGCAAAATCTTTTTCAATTTTACAAAGAAATATATTATCTATAATTTTTTTTTTTATTAGTCATGTATTAAAAATTAGAAAGTCTAATTCGTCCCGGATTCCGCTTCGGCTTTGTGGGGCGTACCTTAATGGAAATATAAACTTCATTCTGAAAAGTCAACTAACCTTGACAGTGATTGGACCATTTTCATTTCCATTATTTGAATCTGTAGGCGAAGTTGAATAAGATTAATACATTCAAAGTATTGAATAAAAGAAACTAGAAGATAACTTTGGATGCAGATCATTAGTCAACAATTATGCTCAGAGAGAGTTCGTAAGATAAATGAGATAAAGTTAGAGACCGCATGTCGACAACTATTCTGTTGAGAATTTAGCTAAAACTATATAAAGTTAGA